ACAGCCAGGCCTGTACAAATGCATGGCACCAGGTAGCTTAAGCAGCAACCAGAATTCTACTTGCTGCCTGCTCCTTGCTTGGTTTACTAACAAATGCCTGCAAACTTCTACTGGACTACACATTGTTACAGAGTTAACTCTTCAGTCACTGACATGAAAATTTCAAATCCAACACTGTATTTATTCATATATGGTTTATATAAAACTGTTAGTAGCTCAGACAGTTCAGGATTAAATGATAAAAGAGGGTTAGTGAATAACAAATTGAAAAAGAAATAGTGATCACATAATATGAAGTACTATAATGCCATTTGTCTGGAAGGAGACATTTTAATTGAAGACAGTTCAGATTCATTGGCATATATAATTAAACCTAACCAATATAACAGTCTTATGACCCAAGAATGGGAACATGAAACAGCCTGCTATAATGCAACACATTGTATATACTCCAAACCCTTAAAAGAAAAAGGAGCAAAGTGTCCTTATGGCAAAATTTAACAATTTTTTTTTCACAGAAACCAACAAAATTCTGTTACCAAACAACAACACCTTCATCATTCATGGAGCTGAGCCCTTCTTGAGAAGCCACCAACTGTGCAGCTGCTCAAGAACTTCCCAGCAATTTATAGAACCACAAGGTTCAATACCGTGTTCACTAAAGCCCTCCAGCGGTCCCTATCCTCAACCAGATCATTCCAATCCATACCATCTCATCCTATCTCTCTGAGATCCATTTTAATATTTACTCACATATGCTTTGGTCTTCCCAGTGGTCTTCTTCCCTCCAGCTTCCCCACCAATATCCTATATGCATTTCTCCTCTTCCCCATTCGTGCCACATGCCCTGCCCATCTCATCCTCCTTGACTTGATCATTCTAATGATACCTGGAAAAGCGTACAAGTTATGAAGCTCCTCATTATGCAGTTTTCTCCACCCTCCTGTCACTTCATCTCTCTTTAGTCCAAATATTCTCAACACCCTCAGTCTATGTTCCTGCCTCAAAGTCACAGACCAAGTTTCATACCAATACAGAACCACATGCAAAATTATAGTTTTGTATATTCTAGTTTTTATGTTTTTAGACAGAAGATGAGATGACAAAAGGCTGTGGACTGAATGGCAGCAAGCATTATCCGAGTTCAATCTCCTCTTAATTTCCTCCTCAATCAGGTTTCAATTTGTTATCTTCGTTCCCCGCTTTCATCTACAATGTGCTAAGTCTGTAATTGGCCTTGCGGCTGTTGACTTGGCACATAAATAATAAAGAATTGAATTGAATTGAAATATCTGAACTGTGCCACATTTTCAAAATATCTGTTACCTATCTTTATGTCATGATATAGCCATGCATTTTGGTGACTAGACACCAATATATACTAAGTTTTCTCTATGTTTACTTCTAGACCAATCTCCTTACTAGCGTCAAATACAGTTTTTCTCTCTTTATGGTATCTATATTATCACCCAGTAAATTCACATCATCAGCATTGACCAACAGCTGCTGTGTCCCATTTAATTTCAGTCCTCACCTGATTTTCCTGGACCTTCCTAATGGCATATTCTAAAGCAAAGTTGAAAATGAGTGGCGATAAAGCATCTCGTCTTAGACCATTCTGGATAGGAAATTTATCAGACAACTGTTTATCTATATGGACTTTACTATATGTTTCATTTAAACACATTTTAATCAGCCTAACTAGTTTCAAGGGTATCCCAAACTATATCAGAATACTGTACAATACCTCCCTCCTAACTGAATCACAGGCTTTCTTGAAGTTTATGAATAAGTGATGTACTGTCTCAGTGTACTCCAATTTTTTCTCTAGTATCTGACAAATGCAAAAGATCTGATCCGTAGTTGATGTTACGTCGAAACCCACACTTATGATCCCCAATAATTTCATCTATGTAAGGATTTAACCTTGAGGGAAGAATATTGGATACAATTTTGTAAGAAGTTGATAGCGGCACTATCTCCCAATAATTAGTAGTCAGTTTTAGCACCCTTCTTGTGAACTGGTACAATGTATAAGGGGTGGGCATTCTTGGCCCTTGCACTGCAAACTGGTACAATAATAGACTCCTTCCACTGATCAGGCAATTTTTCCTTATGCCAAACAGAAGTAATTAGATTGTGGATCTTAGAACGTAATATTTCGCCTCTTGCTTGAATAAGTTCTGCCGGAATTTGATCACTACCTGGCGATTTATACCGTTTCAATTTTGCAATAGCACTTTCAACTTCAAATGGGCTAGGATCACATATTAACAGCTCAGCTGTATGGATTTCTGTCTGCCTAACATCACTGACCCTATGTACATTCAATACCCGAGAGTAGTAGTTCCTCCACATATTCAAAATGTTGTGGGAATCTGAAAACAGATCACCATTCTCATCCTTCACTAAGTTACTTCTAGGTTGGTAACCCCACTTAAAGTCATTTATTCCTCTATACAGGTCTTTAATGTCCTTACTCTTACTGTTAGTTGCAAGATCTTCAATTTGTCTTTCAGATATTCCCTCTTTTTATTCCTGAAATGCCTACAGGTTTCATGTCTTATATTGTTCAGATATCCCCATTTATCTCACTTTGATCCTGTAACCACTGCAATTTGGCCTGTTTTCTTCAGTCTAATAATCTGAGCATACTTCATCGAACCATGGCTTATGCTTCTTCAGTTCATAATAACCTAGACACTCTTTGGCAGAAATTTTGATATTCTCACTGATAGTTTCCAAGCTTTATTAACAACCACCTCAGCGTCTAAATTTTCTGAAGCTGCGAACCTATATGAGATGTCAACAAACATGATACTGCTCTTTACCCTCTACCTTGTTTATTTTCTTGAGAATGATCCTCTTCATATGAACTCTGCCTACAACACCCTATGCACCATAAACTCATACTAAGGTCACTGGGATAGCTCAGTTGGTACACTAATGGGCTGGACACCTCAGGTTCAAATCCTGGCAGAGGCAAGAGATTTTTCTCTACTCCACTGCATCCAGACCAGTTCTAGGGCCCACCCAGCCTCCTACCCAATATGTACTGGGAGCTCTTTCCACATATTAGTTGTCTTCTTCACTATGTTATGGCCATGTGTGACTTCCATATTATGACAGTATTTTACAGCCCCACAAATTAGCCTTCATAGTCTACAATAGTGTGCACGATGCAGCAGATGAATACTATTTTACTTATATGAATATTGTTCTCTAGTTAATTACAGACTACACTGTACTGAGTGGTGGCAGATTGTCTGCATACCCAGTACTCAGAACTGCCCTTATCACTTGGTACAAACACTTTTGAACTCTGTGAGCTATGTTTACTCATATAAAACTGCAATATATTCTACACTAAGACACAGCCCTCAACATAATTTTCTAAAGCAGTTTGGATTCCTTTTATGAAAAACAAATGATGCAAAATAATATGAGACTATAGGTTACCTCATAAGAGTGACTATGAACTATATTGCCTTCTGGGAAGTGATACTGTGTAGTTTGTTAGGTGTTGGAGAATATTTTGGAGAAATGTACCACCACCACCTTCAGTGTCAGAGTAAGATGAGCAAGGAAGCAGAGAGCACAGTACTCTGCTTCCTTTTGAACCATATAAATGGAGGTAGTATGTTCCTCTAAAAAACTTCTACCAGGTTCACATCCCAGAAGACAGCACTCTCCACAATACAGTGTTTGTTACAACCCATCCAGTGTCTATGTCTCCTGCCACAGCACTATTTCAAGCTTAAATCCCACTAGCCAAGTCTGATTACACATGTGAACAGTTCTTTATGAAGCATCAGCAAATATTCAACCGTTTACTAGAACAGAGAAGCAATGGTTGGATCCTATTATCAATATCTGTAAAAGGAAAAATTGTCAAGCTTTATTACAAACTATGCCATGAAAACATGGAAGGGAGTGGAGATATAGATTAAGGTAAGCAGCTGGCCTTATCACCACAGGATGATCCCCCAGTACCCAATGGACAGGGTGTTAGAAAGATACAACTAGCATGGACACTGTAAAGACTAAATTGGGAACTGAATCTAGATTCCTCGATTCTGAAGGGTTCTGACAGTGTTGTATAAACACTCTGCTGTCCAGTAAAATAAGGAACACAATATTACTGAAACTCATTCTGTTTCCAAAATGCTGTTCTTTAGAATACCAATGATTGATAAGTCCAAAAAACACAGCAATCTCAATTCCTTGGCCATCCAGCTTGTAACCTACCTACTATTCTGAGTTATCTTTGCCAAAATTGGAACAAAGCCCCAATTCTTCAGCTCTTAAGGGTTATGATGATGGTCTATAACATCTGGGACATTTGAGTCTTTGGACTTTGTCCAGCATTTGGTTCTCTATAGAATTAAAGATGAACAAAATCTAAAAACTCAGCATGCCCAATTCCTTGGTCATCCATCTTACTATGATCAACTATCATGGCTTCTCAACATCTGCAACACTAGCATAATACTTCACCATAGAGTCCAGAATTTCATAAACACTCGAGTATTCCAATCTGCCTTATGAGGAACAATTAAGCACTACATAATGAAGACATACAGGAGAGTGGATGTATAGATACACGTATTGTTGATCTAAGCACACCAGTTGGTGGTGAGTGGTCAGCTTCACACCGTGGCCACTTTACCTCCAGCGAAGAGCCCCTGGTACACACCAGACAGGAGGCGGGGTGGGAACCAAAACATGCCTGGACAATGTGGAGAGGAGAAAAATCTTGCCCTTACAAGAACTTTAATTCTAACCCCTCAGCTGTCCAGTCCTTAGCCAGTACTATCCCGCCTCCTTAAGTGAAACGAGTACAATAAAAATCTATTATAATTTGAAATTTTCTGTTCCCCAAATTCTCCCAACATGGCCCCTAGAACCACACTTGGCAATACACAGGTCAACATCTTTCAAATTTGTCAAAATTTAAGCAGATAAAGATCTCAGTATAACATCAATGCGAAAGACTCAGGTCTGGTTTTATTCATTTTATTGGAAAATGGATACTAAAGAGGAGAGGCTGTAAGACAACACAGCATTTTACACAGTACATATCTTAGAACCAAGCCTGATTTTTAAATAGCAAGGATTTTTCCCAATAATATAATTTTAATAAACCATCATGAAAACTAAATACCAATCAACACAGCAAACACTGCTTTGGGACGGGTCTGAAATTGAGAAACCATTTTATATAAAACAATATGAAACACTTTCACACAAAGGAGGATTAAATGTAAGTAGAAATTTTTCCAGATGAAATTCTTTTATCGTCAAATTACATTACACTTCTTCAAGGCTATTGAGCATTAAAAAAGGAACAAAAATCAGAACATGTACACTAGAATATCCCTGAATATCAGTTATATGGTTCAAAAGAAAAAGAGAAAAACAAAAACAAATGAAGTTGATTTCCAATGGGCCAAGGGGGGATTAAAGATTGTCACAGGGTGAAAATTTACAGTAGTAACAACAATATTTCTTTCTTACAATCCAATACACTTTTTTTTTTCTGGAAACATCCATTTTTAAGCACATATGTAGCATTTACAAATTATGATCGCTTTTTAAAGAAGCACATTTAAGTTTTAAATATCTATGTCCTTTATACTTCCCCCTTTCGCTGGTGAAATCATCTTCAGAATGAAAACAGCCCCTTCAATACAGGGATGTTCGTTTTATTATCTCTCCAAAGTTATTACTAGTACCATTGCCATTTCACTGTCAAATATATACACAATCTGTACAGACTTTCTGGCAATATGGAGAAGTGTAGGCCACTTACTTAGTGCAAAGCTAGTTACAGCATTGAATGTGAAAAACCTGCATTTCTCTCATTTTCTTCAAACCAGACAAAACATGGCAGTACACTTAAACAATGTCACTCTCTTCCTCATGCTGAGCTTATAATAATTTAATTGTTGTAGACAAACATGCCATAAACAAACCGATGTTCATTCACACACCCCTTCCGAAATAAGTCTATCGTTGAAGACGAAAGATAAACAAAAACACCCCCCCCCCACCCCCCAATATCTACTATGTACCCACTATTTGTCTATCTTCTCGTGCATTTCAAGTCCCCATTTTCAGAAAAGTTATTAAAAAAACACAATCCAAAGGCATTTATTTGAGCTAACATCTACACCGATACGATGTTTCTGAGAGCCCTTTTTTATTCTGACGACGGGAAGGCAAAAATGACATCATCACAGGAGCACACATCGATATTCACACATCAACCAAGAGCTGTAGGGTTGCAGCACTCCCCAACAAGACAGGAATAATAGTTAACATGAAGTCTGCAATCTAGCTCCATCATATTTCCTCTTGGGGGAAGCAAAACTTCCATTATGCTGTGAGGCAGTCCTGCTGACACCACCACGATACTGCACGCAGCTCACATCTGGGTGAGTGGAATCACGCGTCTCCCCATCTTCTGAGGGCTCGGAGCAGCCTATCTTTCTGGGCCGTGGAAATTCATGCATCTGTTCAGCGGTTAGCATGGAGCAGCATCTCAATACCCCTTCCCCTTTTCAACAGACACTGCGACTGTTAATTTTAATTTTCATGTTTAAAAATATTGAATAAAATTGCAATCAACTTTTTCCCTTGTCAAACCCATGAGATCAGGCCCTCGTAATAGTGGTGTACTTCTTCCTAAAAAAGAAAGTCAAATACAAATATTTAATTGACAGATCAGTCATTAAAATGAAACAGGTCCTTACATGAGGTGAACACTGTAACCATGTTCCAGACTCCTTTATCACTGTCTTCCTGTACATTCTCAATAAGTTAAGCACTTGATATTTAGGAAAGAATAATCTTAAAGGCTTATATGAGGTCCGACAAATAACAAGACTAATTCTGTAAGAATATGGATTATGGAATTCTGCCACTATGGCTGTCTGAGATAAACATTAAAAATTCTTTAAATATAAAATTCAAAACAACAAATTCAACCAAAACTATGTCCTTAAGAAATTCAGACTGCATATGCACACTGAGTAGGACATACACCAGGATACATCTACATCTGACAGAGGCTAGTCTGACCACATGTGTCAACATTTAGTAAAAATCTGTGTCAGATGAACTTCAACTACTGACAACATTGGAAGTCACAGATCAGTGACAAACACCTTGCTTCATATGTGAGAGGTCCTGGTTTCAAAACTGAAGGCAGCTTATCCTGATTAGATTTTCATCATTTTCTTCACTTCTTATAGAGAAACACTGGACTGTCAACACAAAATACACTTCCACAGTTTTCCGACTGCATAATTCATAACTGTCATCCCATCCAACAGAATGAAAACTACACGGCTAAAGTATAATACATAAATAAACCAAGCCTTTTAGTCGGAATTTTACCTTCTTCTTGCATAAGGAACACTATAATATATAGTAATATTCTGTCAAAACCTAATACCCTTCCTCCTCCCAGTGTTTTAATACGTAAATTTGCATGCATAATAATTCACAAGATGTCTATTTCAGATGGAATTAAGGTCTGAAATTTGGTGAATATAATAATTCACAAGATGTCCATCCAGTACCGTCCATTTCAGATGGAATTAAGGTCTGAAATTTGGTAAATATATAACAGATAATGACAATGAATATAAAAAATAAAAATCACAAATTTTGAAAACAATTTCTTGGGTTATTTTCCTCTATTGTACATATCCCAAACAGTGTGACAGAAACACAAAAGGATGGCTAAAAAAATTGAGAAACTCGTATCCTTAAAAAGAAAAAAAAACACTAATTTTCATGATTCAGAGAACAAAATCTGACACTTCAAGAACATGACAGAGTGCTTATAAATGTGTCTTCAGTCAATATCTAAACTGAGAACTGCACACAAAAGAAAAAGGTATTAAAAAAATTTGGCAAAGAACGGCTAATAAAATTTACACAAGGCCACCAAAGCCACAGGGGACAAGACAAATACGCAAACTAAAGGCCATGCAAAACATAATGAAGTGTCCAAATTTCACAATCTGACATACACAACATGAAAACATCACACTCAGCACTGTCCTGAAGAACACTGACTACTATATAAAACAGTTCTACAGGAAAGAAAAAGTGTTATAAATCAAAAAAGTTTTACAGAAAAATTCACATGTAATTTTCTACAAATTTTCAATTTAAGATTACAAGAAGCTACACAATGACTGGTATTTACATCCATAGCTGTAGGCCTTAAAAAATATCTGCAAGTTGTTAAGTTCAATTTAGTATGACATTCTCATAATCTATACTCAATGGTGTTTCTACATATTCTGTACATTCAAATGTAAAATTATCCCTACACTTAACAAAAAATACATCAGGTGGGTGAGCAGGTACAGCTACACACATTCTTTCATCCTGGACCCTAGTTGCAGCAAAGAGGCAAACTTCTCGCAACTTTATTCTTGGAGAAAGTCTCAATATTATGGCTAAAAGAACAATTCCCAAAGTGACTGTTTAGAATCAAACCACTGAACACACTGATCTAGAGGCAATGCTCAGTTCAAACTTTGGCCAGACATTAGCTATCCTGTGGTTTTTCATGGTTTTCCTTAGTCCACGAAGGAAAATGCCAGGACACTACCTCAATTAGGCCATGACTATTTCCTTCTAAATCCATTAACTCATCATCCTTCCATCCAATGCTATACAGTACAGATACTGTCAGCATTGCTAAATAACCCATAAAGAAACCAATCAAACTCCAACTGCCAGTCATTCTATCGACTCAGCTTTGAAAGCTCTATTTTCTATATGAAATGGTAAAGTTGTCCCTGTGCTTAACTAATTAAGCACTACACCACGAAGGCGTATGAGGGAGTGGATGTATAGATTCATATTTTCTTGACCTCGGCACTAGTTGGAGGTGAGTGGGCAGCTTCACGTCCCGGCCACTTTACCCCCGGGAAAGAGGCCTTGGTAAACATTGTATAGGAGGTTGGGTGGACCTCAGAGCCAGTCTGGACGACAAGGAGAAGTGAACATACTTGACCTTATCGGGACTAGAACTCCAACCTCTCGGTCGTCCAGCCCGTAGCCAGTCCCTATACTGACTGTGCTATCCCAGCTCACCTATATGAAATGGTATGTAAGATTTTACATTAACTGCATAAAGAAATGTTGAAAGCAATTCTTGCCATCATGTTTTTTTGTGGTTTGAGTTTAATCTACATGGTAAGCCAATTAAATTATGAGACTGATACCATAGAAATGATTTATTTTAAGCGTAAGTAGAGTTTCATCTTCTGGGATATAGTGCTGGGTGGTCTGTTCAAAGTCAACTGACATTTCGGATGAACGACAATAATAATAATAATAATAATAGGTACTTTCATTTAATGTTATCACCGAGGACAATTCCATTTCATTTACCAAGAAAAATTCAATTTATTACATAGCTAAAATGTATGCAGAATACATAATATATCTGATGGGACAAATGATGAAAGTAATAAATTAACAGAAAAGGAAAAACAAAAGAGAAACAAAGATCTCATCAACACACGCAAAAGCCAGATTTCTGTGTTAAAACTTCCAATCCATGTGCTCTACAATACTCACCTCATTTTAAATAATCCTGAACAAATTCAAATAATAAAAAAAAATGCCCTACAAACATTCTTCTTGACTTTTCCGTACGCATCGGGCCACTTTTCTTTTGAAATCCGTATAATTTTCTCTCCATTCTTTCTGGAAAACACGGGAAAACGAGACAATTATGGAAAATTCAAATGCATACAACAAAACGAAGTATAACGAAGTGCGACAAAAACCAAGACATCAAAATCCAATTAACCCATGCACATTATTAAGACTCTAGTTTCTGAAGAGGCCTGTGTTTATTAACCCTTTCTGTGCTGAGTTTGGATAATCCAAAATACAGAAGTGCCAAAAAACATATATAAATACCTGTACCCTAACCAAACCCAACTCGAACACATCAAAGGATGTACACATGCCCGCAGCACAGAAAGAGGTATAATAACAATTTCATTAGACACCAAATTAACATAAAACTTTATTTCACATGGGCAATTTACAAAGTAATTATGCTGTGAGCAAGAGATAATTACAGATATCACTGCATGTGCAATCACTTTCCTGTAAGATTACTCCTAAAAACAATATACCTTTAGTTTCAGTTTGTCACCAATCAAATATCTACTTCTTGAGATGCACAACTTGTATGACATAAAATTCAAAACTGAAGATTTTTAACTATAAATTCTCAAAGAGTGGGGACATTTATGCTGGTTGTATTACACAAAATTTACAAATTACATATTGCTGACACCAAATGGAGTTGATGTTCCATGATGATGACTGTTCACTCCCCCATACATCTTCATGGCACAGTGCTTAATTAGTTTAGCACAAGGACTTTACCCCTTTCACCTTTACAACCAGAATAAGCCCATGCAGCAATCCAAATATCAAATACAAAGTGTGAGTTATTTAACAGTGACACATTATTACAGTTCCTTCTTGCTGTTAATGCAACCTCTCTTGGCACAATGCGGGTTACCTGGCAAAACATTACAATTAATTTCAATATATTCCCCCGATTAAACGTAATAAAAGTGAAAGTAAGTAAAGCTATCCCTGTTACAGGCTGTGGAGGCCCATAGGGTTGTGAGACGTTGAGGTTCCACATTTTCTAGACAATCGGCTCACAGACGGTGGTAAGGTTGTCAGCCTTATGTGCCGGCTGCCCTTTACCACCCAAGAATATTTCTGGTACTCATTTCTGTTAGAGGCTGAGTCGACCCCCGGGCCATAGTGCGGCTAGAAGGATTAGGTCAATTGGAAAAATCCAATGACTTCATCAGGATTTGAACCCGCGACCTTCCAGCTTGTAGCATAGTGCCTCAACCAACTATGCTACCACATGCCCCCGATTAAACGTAATACATAAACATATTTAATATTTTCCTTTTCATGACAATTTTCTTGAGATAATGCCATAATTCAAACATCATATACTTACTGCTGCGTCTACATTTGCTGGGCTTTCATCGTTGGGATCAGCCAACATGGATATGACTGAGATTAGAATAGTCTCGACCGTGTGAACTGGTAGCCATCGTTCTGATGCTTTTTCATAGCCCCATTTGTCATCACCAGGCTCGTGAAGAATTGATATGCAAACATCACCATTCTTCTCAACTATAAAAATGAAACATGCCGTTAAACCAGTGACACATTAACATTGTTCATATGGGGTGATTCAGGATGAATTTGCCAAATTTCTTGGGCACATTAATCGAGCGATTTTGAGGAAGCCCTAATAATATGGGAACAATCTGGAAAATATGAGTCATGGTAGTATGAAAGTGAGATAAACTACTAGATACAGGGATTTGTAGTGAAATGTTTCACAGTAACATCAACGTAAAACTAAAGCATCTGTCATAGTACACTCCCATTTAGTTGATGTGCAGCTTATCCATGCACCTTTTTTAGTGCATTAGCAACTCAGTCTGTCCATTTCTCTATGTACTCATGAAACTACTAAGGAACCACCGGAAAGATTTTGATGAAATTTGATACTGGGGAATTTCATTAAAAAAAATTAGGGCAACTAAAATTTTCATCTATATTGTACAATTTTATCCAACACTTTACATGAAGACTTATATGCAATTCTGCATGCTTCTCAAACACACTTAGTAAATATTCATGAGAGCAAAAAATGTCTTCAACAACAGCTGCAAAGAAAAATTAAACATGCATTTTATGTTTGATGTACTTTTTTCTAGATGTTTTATAGTTTTAGAGATAATTAAAGAACTCAGATGCTGTGCATACATACACTAATTTCTAACAGTACCTTAGATACTTGTACCTATTTTATATTTTTTGTGTCTTCTCCCTTTCATTAGCATAGATAACCAGGAGTGTACTGTATTTATTAATGAAATATGTTACAAAAACTGTTCAATTTAAAAAAAAAAAATTTGGATATGGCAAATAACACTAAAGAAACGGCTTCTTGAGGATTAACTACTTCTGTGCATTCCAATCACAGGCAGACACTTCAAACAGTTTCCGCATTCTGCATTCCATTATTCTTGGCTTGCCAAGTGAATCATATTAATGTACTCCTGGTTCCTGGGCTTGAGTCATTTCTGCAAGCAATGCCCCAGTCTCCTTGAATGTGACTAAATTAATATGGTGGTTGTAACTCTCTCTCTCTCTCTCTCACACACACACACACAAAATACCCATATAGTATATAAATTTTATTATAGTTAGTAAAGAGTGTGCATTTTAGATAATTTTATAAATATCTGCATTAAGAAACTGCAATGCTCAGCCAGCTGGAAGGCAGGCATAGGACATTACAGGAGTACAATCCATGACCAATAAGGTAATATTTAATGAAATGCAAGAAGTCTTAAGTTTTAACCAACCATACAACCCAAATGAAATTCAATTATGCTCCTGGCTCCATCATATGTTTGCCCTCATGTGTTATCTGGACAAACCTGTAGGTGGCATTTATCCACAAAAAGCTAGTAACGGTCTCCTTACTCAGTCAACTTCATAAAACTTACACTTTTGGAAATACAATATAATAGACCCTTGTCATATCACGCCTTGTTATACCAGCAGACTCAGATATAACACAGCTCTGATCATGTCAACCAATAAAATTACACACGCTTTACATCATGCAAATTCCTATGAAATGTTTTAGTAGTATATGATTGTACTGCAACATTCCATGCTGTGGTTTACAGGTACAGAGGAAAAAGTCCATAGTTACGCTGTATGTTTCTGGTTTCTTTAACCTTGGGAATACATTGTTCAATCATCAAAATTTCATGAGCCCCCCCTTTACTTGATCCCAGATGGTTGGAAATCTCATTGAGCTGTTGGAGAGGGTAATTCCCCAAAATTACCACACTGTGCTAACTAGTGCACACATAACAAGGATCCCAAAATCAGACACATGTCAATTTAGTTTATAATGTGGGTATTGCAACGGTCCCTTGACACTTTATATTAAGGGTCTACTCTAAGGCTGCACCATAGCTCACGCGGTTAGTCGCTGGCTTCCCACCGCGGCGGCCTGGGTTCGATCCCAGGTCAAGTTGGATTTGTGGTGAACAAAGTGGCACTGGAGCAGGTTTTCTCTGAGTACTTCGGTTTCCCTTGCCAATCTTCATTCCACTAATTTCTCCGCAATCACCCTCACCTATCATCTGGGGCTGGTACAATAGGCCAGAAGTGGCCGCAGTACAAGGGACTTAGTAGTCCCACCCCACTAGCGCTGTACTGCCAAATCAAATGCCAATTCCAAGCTAAAATAGACACACAGATTTTTAAAAACTGAATATTTATTCTTTGTAAGAAATCTGGACTACATTTCTTTGAGGGGTATGAATTTAATACAGATACACATCTTGAAATTATGTAAACACTGGTAAGAGACTGACTGGACTTCTCGGGTGAAAGGTGTTCTTTTGGTTTAAAACTGAAAAAAAATATGAGACTTAACAGATTTTGAACAGTTCACTTTACCAATAACAACATGCTCAGGCAAGCTAGTACAACAGTAATTTAAATAAGTACTAAAACCATGTACTATTCATAATTCATTTTAAGATTCAAAAGTATCAGACCTTACAGGTTCTATTACCACTATTATATGTTTAAGAATAAAAGCTTTCATGGCAAGTAAATGCAGGAAAGTCTTCTTGGGTGAACAACCAAATTAAATGGAATGGATTTTCAATGTTTTGAAAACTCACTGTTTTGAACATCAGGGATTGAGGCAGTGAGTAGCACAACTGTCCCGAAAGACATCATTATGCTGTCATATGCATATCATGTCACCAAACTAATTTCCTACATTAAATTATAATGATTCGATGGTTATAACTGCACCAAAATATATGGTTGAAACGCAGTTCCTTTTAAAATTTCCTAAATAATCACCTTAGCAAAAAGTCGCATAATTTAAAATGATTTATCACCATACAAAACTGAATGCCCCTCAATTGTATCTTGCTAGGGCTGTCTCCAATCCACAAGGCCACTCTGCAGTCATGTCAATACTACAGATGACATGAGCTACAGAATAGCAAGGTTCATAGCTTCCAGTGGCTTAATGTTCAAACAGACTTGCATAAGTAAGCCACCTAATGTTCTTGGCCAAATCAGGGAGAGATCAAGTCAGCAGTGTTCCATAGCAAAACTGAGGGGGGGGGNGGGGGGGGAAGGATCAATTAGAATGAAAACAGACTGCCTTCTACAACGGGGACTCTTTTATTGAGAGGGAGGACTACCAAAATGATGATGAAAGACCAAAACCATCTTGGGATTCATAGGAAAATGAATTTAATGACCTAACCCAAAGTTCATGGTGATGATGACGATGACAATAAAGAATAAACATTCTTACAATACTTGATTACAGAAAGTGATCTTTTCTGTACACCAATCCACATTCCTCACAGATAATATGAAATACCTAACATAAACTACACCATTTGTACACGTAACGATCAGTAGTAATAATATTAACTAAATAAAACTCCATGGTCTGTAGTCCACAGGCGAACTATACCGACTGAGCAACCACTGCTTGTCGGCAAAGTCAGTGCCAAATTAGTGGATAGAGGGTGTTGCGTGGTCAGTGCAACGGATCCCCAAGGCCGTTAATCTTGGTTTTCTAGACCAGAGCAGCTACTTCCTTGATATAGATCCTCAATTATCCTCACGAGGCTGAGTGGACTCTATTCCAGACCCACTACTTCTCAGAAAATCTGGTAGCACCGGGAATCGAACCCTGCACCTCTGGATCTGTAGCCAGAAACTCTGACCACTAGACCACAGAGGCGACAGTAATAATAATAATTATGGGTAACAAACACTTATGCTCTTATAACATGAAACCCAAACAAAATAAAGTAAACACAAGAAAACTTAGTACTGAAACTGCTGTGTCAAATCTGTAAAAACATGGTATCAATCACAAGTCGTGTACCTTAATGAACTGCCTGCCTAGACAAAAAATAAATTACATATTTATTGGAACGTACGTATGGACCACAACACATCTTTTAATACTGTTATGGGTACCAAATGCAGTGAGACTGTGTCATTTGCATATGCATCTCGCACCATTAGAATGATCAGGAAAGCGATCAGATGAAAAGCAAGCCCAAGGTCATCCACAGATGTTCTAGATTCCTTCCTGCATGTAACGTACTTAGATAAAAGGACCGCGCCATAGCTCAAGCGGTTAGTTGCTGGCTTCCCACTGCGGCGGTCCAGGTTTGATCCCGGGTCTGGTCAAGTGGGATTTGTGGTGGACAAAGTGGCGCTGGGGCAGATTTTCTCCGAGTACTTCGGTTTCCCCTGCCAATCTTCATTCCACCAAATTCTCCATCATCATAATCACCCAGGAAAGGCTACAATAGCCAATCAGTGGCCACCGTGCCGAGTGGACCCAGTTGGACTCCACCCCCCACTGAGTGAATTAATTAATTAGATAAAAGGAGATGGCAGCAACCTAGTCGGTCAGATTTCGTCACCAGTGATCACAGTCTTCAGGAACTCAGGATCCCTGTTGGCACATGCCAGCAGGTCCTGTGTGACCGCAATACCGAGTTGTTGCTGCTCTGGCGAAAGCAGCTTGGGCACAAATTTTGCCGCCACTCTTCACATGCACAAATCCTCAGTCACAACTGTGTTTGCTGAACCTCTGCTGATCCCAACCTCATCTGCAGCTTCCCAGATGGTCAAACGATGGTCCTCCATGTGTCCACACTACTTCAATGACATCAGCATTTCAGCTCGTTGACGGTCTCCCAGAACGCTGGTCACTCTCTGCTGACATACGGCCATCTTTAAAGCGGTTGAACCACTCTTTAATTTGAGTGACCCCCATTGCATCATCGCCAAAAGCCTGCTGAATTTAGCGGGCTGTTTCCGCTTGAGTATCCCCAAGTTTCTGACAAAACTTAATGCAGTACTGCTGCTCCAAGCATTCTGTCATCTTGAGTGAAACGAGAATGCGACAAACATGTGTTACACCACTTTGACATCTGGCAGCCACAGACGCATCCGGCAGTGTTGCGAGTCAGCAAAAAATCACACATGCGCATGAAAGTCCCTTCTACCACTACGCTCAGTTTCCCCACCCCTTTGGCCATTACTTACAGCGGAAAAAAATAAAGTCGGATACTTTTTGACAGCAGAGTATACATCAACAATAACAAACATCCCAATCATGCAAAACTCCCATGTTACATCTGGCAAATATAATGTACTAGTCGAAACTATGGATAGAAACATAACATTGAACTGTACATTTATGACTTTATAGATCTTGCTCGCCTTGCCTATCGTGAGAAGAAACAGCATTTGGGTGATTTTTTAATATCCCAGATAAACAGGATATTTGACCAGACTGTTGCTAATAGCCCAGAAGAAAAGCAACACAGAAAGATAAGCCAATGAAATTACTGTTCAAATACATTCAATTAACCTATGTAAGGTAAAGGTGTCCCTGTGCTTAACCAATTAAGCATTACGTCATGAAGGCATATGGGAGAGTGGATGTATAGATCCACATATTAAACTATGCATGATGATACAATCTGAAATGTTGAAGCCATTAAAACTTCAATTATATTATTAATGAAGAACACTTCTTGTAATCTCTTGAAATAACAAAAGGGGCAGGGGGGAAGAGGAGCAGTACTAATATTATGTAATATGCATCAATAACTCATTCCTCCTATTAGTTTAGTTAATATTTAAGGAATGTGTTTCAAATGAAAGGTGTAAAGTTCAAACAACAAATATGAACTTATATCTGTATTATTTTGGACAAAATAACCATGTATATGATATTTAAGCAATAAATTCCTCCACCACTACTACAAGCATGTGTTCTTTCACTGACAAACTTCACACCCATTGTCAATTCATGGCAATAAATTACTACACAGTCCGTACTTCTTACTTTAATTTAACTGAATATTTCAAAACGTAAATTCCACTTTTTCTTCTGTGGTTCACTTTAACAACAATGTCCATAGCTCAGATTCAACAGTTAGGAGCCAGGATAAAAATCCAAAACACAGGCACACAAAGTTTTCACACTATGACAGAAGATAACCCTGAATAATCATATTTACAGAATCAAACTCTTTATTGGCCTGAAAATGGGTGATAAATTCAGAATCACAAATACAAGTCAGGAAATTTTCAAGTTACTTTGAGTCTACAAATACACAACACATTCTTACAAAAACCTGATCGTAACAAATCCAAAAGAACAACTTGGTCTCAAAGCTGGATCAGCATGGTGAAACTGATGGAATAGCCAGACAGGCAAGACATGACAAATGGGTACTTCAGATCCACAGGGCAGAGTCCTTCTCTAGAAGCCAGTAGACAGCACATCCAGACCCCACCTCCTCAACATGGAATCAGGAAGCTGAGTACCATGCCCATCACAGGCTCTTGCCTGAATCTAGTCCAAATCCAACCTCCCACCCAATTTCCTTAAAGTTCATTTTAATATCATTCTTCCATCTGCACCCAGGTCTTCCAAGAAGCATATTCCCTTCTGGTTTTCAAACTAATATTTTGTATCCATGATATGTATATAATGGCCGTCTTGTAGTGCACTCAATTTAACATGTCACTTCACTACATGTGAATTTAATAATTTTATGAAAGACACATGATGGCAAGCAGTGCAATAGTTTAGCGTAAATAAAGCATCTGAAGATGGCACAAGACGGCTATTAAATACATATCATGGATGAGAATCAGTGCAACAGGACTCTAAAATACAACATTAATATTTTGTAACTTATTTCTGATCTCTCCCATGCTTGCTACAAGGCCCTCCACCCTCAAATCCCATCCTGGATTTGATAACCCAAACAATATTTGGTAAAAAGAACAATTACAAAGTTCCTCACTATGCAAATTTTCCCCAGCCCCTAGTCACTTCTCTCTTACATTAAAATATTTTCCTCAGCACCCTCTCCTTGAACACCACTAACATACGAATATCGCTGTATTCTGTGATGTGATGCATAGACTGCTAGGTAAGTACCATTCCCTTGAAATATTGGCACCGAGCTACCTGATTACAAGCCGTCACATCCCAGGAGGCAATCTTCACACTCACCACTGTGAGAACCTCAAACCTCACTCTCAAGCCTTCTTCCCTCCTTAATGTCAGATATAAACTTTCATACACATACAAAACAACACGGAAAATCGTAGTTTCTATATTTTCACCTTTACAGTTTTAAATAGTAGGCATGATAAATTACCACAAATTATTCAGATTTTCGAACATCATATTCAATATAGTAATTTGTTACCAAAATCAAAATTCTTCCTTGCTAGATCTCTTTTAAGGCACAGTATTCTCTGCCTAAAACCTGAATATGGGTACTATTGGTTAGTAATGCAAATATCATCAAAAATGTACTTGATTCTACTTTCAACATGTGTCTGGTATTATTACACCAATATGAAATTCAAACACAGTGGACTGATACCTCCCTCACCAGATGGCAGAAGGTATGCATGGATAATGGTGTAAAGGGACTCTGAAATCCTGTACATATAAGTGAGGTACATGAAATTACATTACATAGGATATCCGGATGAAAGGTATCCAAAATAAAAAATTTATATCTCGGAAACTAATTGTCATACACATATCTGGTTTATGTCATTGAAAAGGAAAACTCTGAAAGTTTCTTTTTCATACCTGGCTTAGGTGCCACCACATTTTTGCCACCATATTAGGAATCACCTGGACAGAGAGGTGGCTGGGATATGAATTGGCAGAGGTGGACCAATCGCTTGGCCTCCTAGGTCGCCAGACGTGAACAACACTGTCTACCGGGTTAAGATCAACGAGCTTCGATACCTGAAAACCCCCATAATGGACGCTGTGGCTACAGTAACACCAAACATGCTTCAAGCCTGGATATTTGTCGTGCCACCAAGGGAGCCCACATTTAAATTTATTGAGAAAGTATATATGCAGGAAAAACTGTGATAGTTTCCCTTTGTAATGGTGTAACCCATTAATGTGTATAATAATTTTTTTTCTGAGATATAATGATTTTATCTTGGATACCTCTGTATGTAAGGGGTGGGCCATAAAAACCGGCCCTTACACTGCAACCTTCAATGATCTATTGTGCTTTTGGATACCTTTCATCTGAACACCCTGTATAACTTTTATTGGGAATTACCTTACTATTTTAGTTTAGAACGCTTTTCTACTGAGAACATTAGTTGTAGCAGTAATGTTCTGCGATTGCATTTGGAAGAAGCCTGAGTTCAAATCCCAGTCAGACACCAGGAAACACTCTCAACTTCATCATTCACAAACTGTCTTAACATCTGATACTATGTAGTCTGCCATACTTATTGCATCGTAAAATAAACAAGAAAAAAATACTTTCCAGGTCTGTTTACATCCATTTTGCAGTACTAATCACCTATTTTCAGATTCTGTTTGCTCAAGGTACACCAATTTCTAAAAACCTATAAATTATGTCATGAAGTTCTTTTTGTTGATAATTTCAATACAGCTATTGCTCCATTTCTGTCAACAACTCCAGAAGATAAGATGTCTAAATGTCCTGGAAATGATATTTTTGATCCTCGCATTACAAGCATTCATGCATCAATTAAAAAAAAGTTCCTTCAAATGCTCAGTTATGCTGTACAAAACTGTGTTAAATAAATTAGCACATCTCACACATCAGTCATTTATATTATATGAACATACTGCATATAGAATAAATTTAAATATGTGATTCAAGATTGTTTTGAAATGATTACTAACACAGAACAATCAGAACATGCAGAAACAAGCCCAGAGTTTGACATTCAAAATACACAACACGGCCCCCTTCATTCGTGGGTCTCAATAACTAAGTAGGTGAACTATAATCTAGCCACACCAAACAGAAAATTTATAGAGCTCGTATTTCAGACACCCTAGGTCCAAGGGTAAGATATATGTCTCTCTATTTTCTGCCTACCTTCCAAGCAAACATTTCCATACCAGTTATATATATATATGGATGAGTCACATACATGAACACCAAGATCGCTGCAAGTTATTTCATACATAATATCCAACGATTTCATGCCAGTACTGCAGAATCTTTTTCATGAGATCAGTTCCAGTCAAAAACATCATGCAAACTTGGGTTAAATTCTCAGCAGTTATGAGAACTACAGATAATTGGATTTCAGCATGTTTTGAACTAACACAATAAATCAGTTCCTTCATTAGTCCCATTTTATCCAAATTAAGATCAATATATCTAAAAAAAATTGTAGAAGAGATTATAATAATCTTATTTCCATTTGGACATGAGCAAATTCACGATGAACAAGAAATTTCAAACAACGGTCAAAAGAAACAATGCTGAATAGCAAGTAAATAGACACTTACTGTTTGGATGCCATATTTCTGTAATAAACTTCATCCGAGGAGGTCGTAAAGGATACTCTTTTGGAAAGTGTAGATGTGCTTTGAAAAATCCACCCTCACTGTAAAATTTAATGTACAGCATCTATTGATTATGTATGCAAATGATGTTCCAGCAGTCTTACATTGCAAAGTTATAGCTACTAAATGCATTATTCGCTGAACTACACAAACTTACTATAAAGTGTCTGGAGGTCCAATGATGAGTACCTCCCATCTATAAATGTCATTGTCGTCTATGAGGCCAGCTGAAAACCCTTCAACAGGGTTCTTGTTCAGTTCTGAAACAGGTAAGTGTGTCAATATTATGTTATGTATCACAACACGTCAACCGAATTCCCAGAATAACAAAGCGAATTTGGTGGACTGCAAAATGGTTACTCATGCAAATTTCACAGTACAGTAGCCTGGACTTACAGCTACTTTCGCGGTAATGCACATGGAAATACTAAGTTCTGTACATTTTAATACCTCGAAGATGTGTTTACACTGAAAACACAAATGTATTATCAGCTGCTGACGACAAAGAAGTGAGGCAACTTGAGCGAGGTCGTAGTCACGCAAGAATGGATCACATTACGTCTCTGTAAACTTCAATATTTCACAAACTAGGTGGAAAGTAGGTTTATAATTAAACATACCTGCTAGTTGTTTCCGTAATAGAAGAGCGGACTGTGGCTCTGACATGAATATGAGAATACTTCAAATTTATACGGCAAACAATCACTCCCTGGGAAAGATGGCTAGGTTCTAAGCTCAAGGCCGCATGCGCAGGACTCCATATGCTACTTCCGGCAGTTTGAAGAAATGTATGAAACATTTACGAATCGAAATTGCGTTACTCCTAGTGGCAGAATTTGTAACTAACACTAAAGTGGTGCGTCATCTGAAGGTATATATTTGAACTAGGTTGAATTCACCGTCGATGGAAGGAGTCATCTGCAGAAAGATAAGTGAACTATATTACGAGGTTTTAAAAAATTCCTCGTCTTAGCTGCAGAAGTGCGTCATCTATAGGGGTACCACAGAACTAGATACGGTGGGCACCTTTTTAGTCAACTTCAAAACAATTACACTTCGTCGTCGACTACGACCGACTTCCGTTCTGACTGACAGGTCTAAGTCGATCTGGTCGTATGTCGGCAATATATTTATTAACAGTATTTTTAAAAACTTTTACATTTCAATCATCTTTTATTTTTCATTTTTTTGTGGTCGTAAGTCGCATAGGTCGTAAGTCGACGACCAAGTGTAGTTACGCAGTCGCCTTGCAACAAAAGTTAATGTTATCAGACGTGGAATCATGACTTGCTCCTTCCAACGGGAGTTGAAGAACTGTCACACCTGAATGGATTACTTCACTGGCCACAATTTGCCAACCTGTGTATGGGTCCATTTGTCTTGCCACGATGAGAATGCGGAGCAAATAAGACAGAATAAAGACATTGTCCCAATAACCAATCCTCATGCGAGGCAATTTCCCTGCTACATGCATTGGCAGTCTCCCTGCCGAGCAGACCCACTGGGCCCGGTATGCAGCATAAGGCAACCGATTTTGCTGCTTTACGGAGGCTGACACCTGATAGCAAATCTTGTTAACAATGTATGGCTTCGTGTGTGTTCGTGGAGGCGCTGAATGACATTAAGAATGTCCCCACAAAGAAAGCGACAATACAGAGGTTGATGTAAGGTGAATATAACAGCTCTGTATATGTGTCATAAAAGTTCGGTTGTGTAACTCCAGTTAAAAAAGTTTCATAAGTTGTGCTCTTTGCCAAATATAATTACAAGTCAAAGAGGATGAGGTCAGGGCATATAACACGCAGTTCACACGAGGGCGTGTACGGGAATGAAAAAACGGTCATAACTCCGTAACCGTCCAAAATCGGACACATGTTTATACTATGAACTTTTTTGATCACAAAGACCTAGGAAATCGCCTCCTGCAGTTATGCCCTAAAGTCATGAAACGCTCTGTATAACCGATTTCTCGGGTGACCTCGGGCTTATGAACTGTAAGTTACTGAATATGTATAGTAACACACATTCAGGGAAATTAGACAAAGGACAGAGAACCAGTACATATATTGATATACGCGATAACGACAGTATGTATTGTCACATGTATTGGTGACCACAGACGGGGTATGGATTGGTGAATGGATCTGTTAGACTCTTAAAAACCGTAACTACAATTCATTATATAAATTTCACTGATTCTCGCACTTTACAAATCACATCAGCATGCGCTAAGTCTTCGCCAGTCTTCTGTCTTCACCAGCCGTTCCCTAGCAACGGATTTATAAGTCTCACTGTAACAACACACATGAATTCTTCTTTGTGCAGTCTAATTCCTTTCCTGACATTTCTTCTCAATCATCTTCGACTGCCATCTCCAGAGACTCGCTCAATTCTATCTCAGTCAAAGTCAAAGTCACATTGGGACTGACGGCCATTCAGTCAGTAAATCTTGGTGTCGAGCCCCATCTGGGGCTCATGACCAGATATTTATTACTGTTTGAAAGTTTCGGTCTTGTTTTTGTGGGGCGCCCTTTAACTTGTTATTTTAAGTGGACTGCAACGCGCGATTTTAGCTCATTTCAGAACAGTGTAACAGTAGGACGCATTAAAACACCTGAAGATGGCCATGTATGGCCGAAACATGTTGTGTTAAGTGTTAAATGGTGAATAGAGAGTTGTTGCATTAGAGACGGACTGTTGATACATAGACGTTTAATTAAAGATTTGAAACAGGATGCTGAAATACAGAATTTAAAATCCATTTTAATATTTTCGTTCCATCTGTGCCTATGTTTCCCAAAACTCTGATCTTTTGAAATCAAAAATTTCTTAAGTGTGTCTTGCTCTCTCCTTGCGATATATGTTCTATCTTACCCTACATTTAATGTCGCTAACAATGGGCCCAATAGATAGAAAGTATGCATGCAAATTCTGAATTTTTTCATCAAGTGCTTCTCTTTGTCCTCCTTTTAGTTCAAAGTATGAACTACTAAAAGAAGACTGCTGAAGTAGTCTAATAATAACAATAACAATAACAACAACAATAATAATAATGATAATAATAATAATAATAATAATAATAATAAAAGTATGAGAGTGCTAAAACTAACCCTGTGAAAATGGCCGCGCCATAGCTCAAGCGGTTAGTCGCTGGCTTCCCACCGCGGCGGCCCGGATTCGATCCCGAGTCTGGTCAAAAGGGATTTGTGTTGGACAAAGTGGAACTGGGGTGGGTTTTCTCCGAGTACTTCGGTTTCTCCTGCCAATCTTCATTCCACTAAATTCTCCATCATCATAATCACCCAGGGCAGGCTAAAGGCTACAATAGGCCAATCAGTGACCGCCGTGCCGAGTGGACCCAGTTGGACTCCCCCCCCACTAAGCGAATTAAAGAATCCTTGCGAATAGCAGAATTAATATAAGTAAAGTTTTGAAAAAGTTAAGTTGTTCCTGTGCTTAAGTAATTAAGCACTACGCCACGAAGGCGTATGGGGGAGTGGATGTATATATCCATATTTCCTTGACCTCGACAATAGCTGGAGTTGAGTGATCAGCTTCACGCCCCGACCGCTTTACTCCCCGGGGAAAGAGCCCCCAGTATCCATTGAATAGGAAGTTGGGTGGACTCCATAGCCGGTCTGGACGACGTAGAGAAATTTCAAGACATTGTCAAGACTAGAAATCCTATCCCCTGCTCGTCCAGCCCGTAGCCAATCGCTGTACAGACTGCGCTATCCCGGCTCCTCATATAAATATGCCTAGGAGAGTAAAAATACATTAAGAACTGTAGACAAACCTACCACGAGAAGAATAAAGTAGTGTAAGAGCTTTATCTGGCATATCCTGTCTTCGCTCGCTTGGAAACGGGGATCGTGGGTTCGAATCCCACTCAGGGCACGGTTGTTTAGTTTGTGAGTGTGCGTTTTTCTGTGTTTGTCTACAGGTAGAGGCCTTGCGACGAGCTGATCACTCGCCCAAGGAGTCCTACCGAATGTGTAAGATCTAGAAAAACCGAAGTGAACGGAGAAGTTCATGGAGGTAGGCTTAGGCCCACTGGGGCTGTAGTGCCAAGCGGGGTAAAAAGAGGCATATCTGTGTGTGCAACACAGACCTAAAGCGTCTGGTATACTTAAAGTTTTTCTTGTACTTAATTAAGCACCATGAAGAAATACGAGGAAGTGCAGGAATAGCTCTAACATTCTTAACCTCGGTACTAGATGGAGGTGAGTTGTCAGGTTCAGGCTTTGGCCGTTTTATCCCTCCGGAAAGGACCCACGGTACCCATCGCATAGGAGGCTGTGTAGGGCCAAGATCCGGTCTGGATGTTATGAAAAGAAAAATATTTTTCCGATGCCGGGAATTGAACCTATGCCATCCAGCCCGGTACCCGTCTCTATACCGACTCAGCTATCTTGGCTCCTTAAAGAGACTGGACGTCAGCATAATCAGACAATAAGTTATTACGTGTGTAAAATGTCATCGACCGAAATACAATCCTTGTTGAAGAAATCACCACTAGTATAGTGTCGGTGCTTAATGTGGTGATGATTAATTCTCTCAGAGAGAGAGAGATGCGAGCTGTTCATTGCCTGACTTGTTCCCTTATTGCGTGCATGACTGATGTGTATCCATGGTAACAGTGAATCTGTCATTACCGTAGTGCAGCCAGAATATTGCAACACTTTCATGACTCGCTGACAGAACTAATCAACACAATTTAATTTGAACCACTACATTTTCATCTCACAGATAAAAGGAAATGAAAACAAAACACAGCGATGATGCGTCGCATGTCTACAACTGCGCATGCGCAGAGGAGTTCTGAGGAAACAAGCGTGGGCGTTGGGGTTATGACCGAATGTGTGCCGATCTGTGAAGTATTTCTACTCGATCTGTAAGGAAAATATTGCCCTTGTATTTAAAGCGTACACTTTGGGCCTCGCCATAGCTCAAGCGGTTAGTCGCTGGTTTCCCACTACGGCGGCCCGGGTTCGATCCCGGGTCTGGTTAAGTGGGATTTGTGGTAGACAAAGTGGCTCTGGGGTGGGTTTTCTCCGAGTACTTCGGTTTCCCCTGCCAATCTTCATTCCACCAATTGCTCCACAATTACCCTCACCTATCATCTGGGGCTGGTACAATAGGTCAGAAGTGGCCGCAGTAAAAGGGACTTAGTCCCACCCCACTAGCAATAAAAAAAATTAAAGAGTACACTTCATCAAAATAATATTTAATAAAATTGTAAACTCGTATAATGTAATCTACTACGTTTATTAGGCATATTCCACTGAGGGAGGATAAGTATAATGATAGAAGACGAATTCTTCCGTTATTATGAACAAATATAAAGTTCACATGGAACTGTTCATTGTTAGGTGATACTTAAATTGGCCAGAAATATAAACCCGTCAAAAGGTTTCAATGTTCATTGTAATTACATACACTAAACGAAAATTAAATATATTGTGGCATGTAGATCTGTTGGTAGGCAACGACCGCAAGATAAGCAGTTATACAACAGCCGTTGATAAATAATGGATCTGTAAATAATGGCTGTTGCTAGGTAATGGCTGAGTAGCGATCACGTGGACATCCCAACAAATGCAAACGCAACAGTGGATAGAGCAACAGGGGAACGGTGTGTTCTGTGGTGTCCGTGCGAGACGTTATAAGCAGGATAAGTCTAGAGTTGAGAGTCGACAGTTGGAGCAAAGAGTTATTTGTGAGATAGTCGCCAGCCGGTAAGAACGGGAACAAAATATTACTTTCAGTCGTTCC